CCCCACTTAGGCAACGCAGGATGAGACACCCGCCTGCACCTTGGCTGAGTGATGAGATAAGATCTCTTATGCGACTGCCTAACCGTGCAAAGTCGGTATTTAAACGTACACCCTCTAGTACTAATCGGGAAAATTATCGAATTTTACGCAACCGGTGCGCTGTAATCATAAATGCAAGTATGCTAAGAGATCTTATTTCTACCAGAGGCTGTCTGGAGTCGCGCCGAGAACATTTTGGAGGACTATGAGATCTCTCGGAGCGATTGACTCTTCGTCTGTCCAAATGTATCTTGATTGTGAGTCGATGGCAAACTTTTTTGCAGAGCCTCTCCTGAGCATCGATGACGTAACTACGGCGGCTACAATTAATGAAATTCTTACCTCTCTTAAATCTTGCTCCTTATCTCTTACGCTTGTGACCGCGACCGAAGTAGGTGATGCTTAGACTTATTCGAAGGCAGTGTATTGGGTCCGGTACTTTTTTCTTTGTTCGTTAATAGTGTTACTAATAATATCTCGTGTAATTATCATTGGTATGCTGACGACCTCCAGATATATACTACTACAACTGTTGCTGAATTTCCGGAAGCTATTGTGCGACTTAGTAACGATCTACAGTGTATGATAAATGTTAATAATATCTAATTATCACTACTTGCCATATTCAGTAAATATTATTCTTGATTGTTCTGTTGGGTCATTTGGCATTTGTGCGATAAAATGATCCGTTTGCTGATACTGCTCATACTGCTTATACTGTTTAAGTTTATCCATTGTTCGACTAACAATCGACCATGGGATTTTATGTATATATATTTGTTCTTATTTTTTTTTCTCATTGTTTTTTCTTGTTGTGTACCTTATGTAATTTTATATTCTTATTTGTGGCAATAAATGGTAAATAATAATAATAAAATAACATTAGGTATTAACGTTATCATTAACAAAGATGTTAAAAGATGAACGAAATACATATAATGAAGTTGATAGTTCCGAGATAATCTTAAGATAGGGGCAAGTGCACTGAGAGCTTTAAGTGCAGTTACGGAACGGTAATTTTAATTTTATTTCTTTACTAACAAATCAATTTTAATTGTTTTCGTAGATACCATTTCCTATTCTTTCGTTTAGAACTCGGATCCAAATTATTTCTCATAATGTACTAGGTATAACAAGAATTGGGTTCTTGCTAAAGAAGCGATGATTTTTTATGCTTTCCCAGAGAAAAATCAACGTTCATGTTAGGGAATATTAATTGATATGGTAAATTATCTCATTTATTTACCATTGGTAAATGTTTAAGTAATTAGTTAATTCAAGATTATTTCAAATGTTGTTTTGCCGATGCGATTATCAGTAAAATGACTGGAACATCATTAAAACCACGGAAGCGGTCGTTGAAATCCTTGATGAAATGGCAGTAGCCTTCTTTACGGAGATGTGGATATATGTGAAGGTTTTGTTAGTAAAGCTAATAAAACCTAGAGAAAAGTTGGGAAAATTGGTTGGAAATTGGTTGGAAAAAGGACAAAATAATAATGTCGCGAGATGTTTTATGCGATGAAACATGTATATAACATAAAGATAATGTCGATCAACAGAAATAACGGACAAAATTGAAAGTGATAAAAATGAAGTGAAAGAGAATAAAAAATTACATGAACAGAGTGAAGAACAGATGAAAAACAGTGAAGACGAGGAACGAGAAGAACAATATAAAAACATACAAGATCTGGAACAACAAATAAACCAACTTATCAACTCACGAAGAACAAGAAACATGGACAATAGTAAATATACCGAGCGAGGCCAAAGCGATAGATACAAGATGGATATTTACTACAAAGAAAGACGGTACAAAAAAGGCACGGCTAGTTGGCAATTAGGTTTTCAACTCAAAAATGAGGAATGGAATTCAATATACGCCCCAGTATCCAGGATAACATCAACGATAAGAATGTTTATGGTTCATGCGATTAATAATAATTGGCTAATAAAACAATTAGAGCATTTTTAAATGGTAAACTAACTGACAATGTTTTTATAAAGATACCAGAAGGAATAAACAAGGAAAAATGAAATGTATTGAGGCACCAAAGTGTAGGGATGAACAATTTGATCAATGGATTCAAGAGATCAAAGTATGATTTGTGTCTATACACAAAGAAAGATGTGTACACAAGAAACAATAGAAAGGTTAAAACACGAATTTAAGGCAAAACATGTAGGAGAATTAAATAAGTTTTTGGGAATGGAAATAATAAGGGAAGAAAATACTTTGAGAAGAATATATTGATAAAATTTTGAAGAGATTTAATACGACAGACCGCAATGTTAAGAAAACGCCAATGGAAGTAGTAGCAACCATTTCAACAACCGACACAAAAACTTTAAAAACTCCCAAAATGTCGTAATATTTACCAAAATTACCCTCATGATGTTTTCACTCCACTCGTCCCAAAATATATAAAAAAAAATCAAATGTTAAACCGATCATCTGCGACCTCTCGTAAGGAATAGGAAAAGTAAAAAGAGTAGGAATCTCGAATTCCCTTACTGAATTAAAATATTTAGTAGATATTAAGGTGATTAAAAAAAAACGTAATAGAATGTTCTTTTGTTTTTAATTTAGTTTATAGCAGATATTAGATTTTCGTTTATGTTCAATGTTATAAAATATGTTTGAAAACAACAATATTTTATTTATTTTAAAAGAAGACAATATCAGAGTGAAAGGTTTTGAAATGAAATGTTTCTTTAATGTTGTTTTGTATTAAAATGTATCTTTTAGAGTAAAAGTTAGGTTAACTTTTATTAGAAGTAAGAACAAATAAAGCTAAGAACAATGGGAAGGTTCCATCAAAACTCGTTACTAACCATAGTAGATAAGTAAATAGTATGAAAGGGAGCAAATCTCTAAATCATTAATTCACTTTACTCTAAAAGTGCATACACATCAAGCGAACGAATGCCGAACACCGAAAGCGAATTCGACCAATGTGTAATAGTTAATAGTAATAGTTAATACACAGGCGAATCAAACGTTTGGTTCGCCTTCGCATGCGTTCGCTCCGAGAGCGGTACGGTACATCAAAGAAAATCGGTTTTTGGTGTGGCCGGATTTGTTATTCGTGTGCTTAGTGTGTACAAACTTCCAAATGTTGAACAAACGAACAACAAACGTTCGTTGTTCGGAGTTCGCTATTCGTTCGCTTGATATGTATGCACCTTAAACATGCGAGCTGCATTTCGCCCGCGGCGTGGCGTAGGCAGTGCAACGCAGTGTCGATTGCTTGGCGTAGAGGTAGAGGGAACGCCGCGCCGTATATATAGTAATAATAGTAAAAATGGATGATAAAAGTGATCTAATGGTGAAATTTGTTCAATTAATTGAAAATTACCTATGTTTATGCAATCATACTTTACTAGAATACTCTAAAAAAGATCGTAGCGAAAAAGCTTAGTCTGCAATAGGCCCAAAAATGAAATATATTACTTCAATTCGATAAAAATTCCGGGGATATTCTTCCAAAAAAAAGGCTTGGACATCATCTGTGTTATATTTTTGAACGCGCATTTTTTGAGATAAAATTGATATGTACAAGTGTCCCAAAATTGAGATACCATGCCTAAGTTGACATTTTTAAATAGGAACCCCATCATTTTTTGTTGCATTTATGGCTTCTACGTAAAATTCTGAGTAATTTTCATGTTACACGATGATGTGTGTAATGTGCCATCTTTTTGCTCATGAAATTGTGTAAAACGCATGCAAATTATCGATATAATAGTTTCATATTTTCGGACTCGTATAGGCGTTAAAAAAATCTTAAATTTTTGAGTCATCATTCTAAATGTATATTCTGTAGGTTTTCTGTGTTGACTATGTCTGTAATTGACAATTCGCCTTTTATTATTAATATTTATTTCGAAGTATGGTCTCACAATATTTTGTCGTTTGGAAGTTCTGTTGGAGGTGGCAATGTATTATCGCTTACCAACCAACAATCAAATGTGGAAACCAGAAAGAAGCCTCCATCACTATTTCGTCCAGCATATCCGCATTCTATTGTTGTGAACAGACCATAAACATCACAACAGCCAAACAAAATAACTGAATGATAGTTTTTATAATTAAAAAATATAATTAACGTTGGTAAAATAAATTTATAAAATTTTATATAAATTCGTTTGCAGAACTTTAGGCGTATAAGAAGCATCATGCACCGACGCGATGTTTCCATGTGCAGAAAGCCTAAGTAAATTTAATATTTTTTTAATCTATACGTATAACCCAATATAGACTTCAATTAACTGATTAGTAATTGAATTATGTAGTTACTTTGAACAATAAATAGTTTGTATTATATTTTCTAAATTTATTTTCGTTATGGCCCCTATTCTGGGTTATTCCAGAAATAAAATTATTTGAAATTTTCAATTACCACCGCACAAGTGGTAACTACTGCGAATGGAACTAATTGTAAGATGCATACTGTCGAAGTACATTATGTATAGATTAAAATTATTTCGAATTCTTTTTCGTTATACCATTATTGGCCCTGAAAAGGGCCTTTGTGTGGCAGCTTGTGAGAAAGCACTTAATTGTAACTGCAGAGCTCATTTTCTTTTTGGTAAACTTCTCTTTTTCGTGGACGACGATTTCAATTGTGCAGCACCACCAGCGACTTTCTTGGCGATTTTAGGTTTCGGCGCTTTCGGCTTTTTCGTCGGTCCCTTGGTAACTTTTTTAGCTTTGGATGGTGCTTTTCTAACCGTGGTGGTTTTTTTCACTGCGGCAGTAGTAGAGTTGGTTACTTTCTTTTCTCCGACCGTTGGCGACTTTTTGGCTTTTACCGCAGCCTTCTTTTTGCTTTCAACAACAGGGGAACCGGACACCGGCGTTGTTTTTGCCTTCGCAGCTGAGGAGGATTTCTTCGTAGAGATAGCTCGAGCTTTGGCCGTTTTAGATACGGCGGCGGCAGGTTTCTTTTTAAGGGAGGAAGTCCTTGCTCTGCCAGACTTTTTTGCAAAGGCCGATGGTAGTTTAAACGATCCTGACGCACCTTTACCTTTAGTTTGGACAATAGCGCCTGCAGCGATGGCGGTCTTCAGGAATTTCTTAATAAACGGAGCCATCTTCTCAGCGTCAACTTTGTAATTAGAAGCCATGTACTTTTTAATAGCTTGAAGCGACGAACCGTTGCGTTCCTGAAGGGTCTTAATCGCATTATTCACCATTTCGGATGTAGGTGGATGGGTGGCTTTTGATCGCTGGCTTTTCTTTTTCTTCGTCGACGAATCGGAGGACGAACCACCGCCGGCAGCTTCGTTTTTTACGAGTGTAGTGTTTTCCGTTTCGGAAGATACGCGGGTGTTCCGTTCCGTTTGTTGCACATCCGTCATTGTAGCGACAGTTTGTAGCAAAAATATTTCTTACAAAAGCTCACATGCACGAACGTCAACTTCGTACAAGTTATTCGCATACAGTTTCCTCAGAAAATTGAACCCAACGTTGAATGTACATACCGAAGCCGAAAACCATCAAAAGTCGATTTTCCCCCGTTCGCACCGCTGGCATCACAACGGCTGTCTCGTGTTTGAAACTTTCTAGAAAAAGAGCCCGCTTGTGTTGGCGTCGCGACGTAAATATTCCCGTTAGGTATTTCAGTATACTGGAAGAAGTTAATTCAACGTCTACGTAAAAATTTTACTTGTGGTGGTACGATTTCGTTGTGTAGCGACGGTTGAAAGTATAAGATGTCATTGACGGGACCGTCTTCGTAAACTTTAGCGTCGCCGAATTTCGCGCTTATGTAAGAACGAACTGAATTTTCAAGGAGAATAGCTTTCTTAAACTTTTTAAAACCACCGGGCGTGTAAATTTTATCAATATGTCTAAGTTTTTATCCTTAAAACGAAGACGATGCGATCGGCAATTCCACATGGGTCGCGAGTTTTCTCGTTGTTTCGAACATTATTGCCGACGTCGAGAACGCGAGAAAAGTGGTGTGTTGCGTCCCTAATTTAGGGATTACGTGTTCGCCTAAACCTGGTATCATCCAAATACCTTCACGTGAGTGAAAAGTGAAATATTCGAGTGTTATTTCCACACCGCCAATATCGGTCCTTACGCATTTATTCAAGTCATTCGTTCATTGCAATTAGTTCTTAGGTTAATATGGTCAATATGATACTAATTATGAATATCAAATCTAATTTCTATTATTCTATACATAATAGTAGTAGATCACTATGATTCATATGCATATATTTTTCCTTTTACACGCTTTATCATATCTAAGTGTTGAAAACATATTTAGTAGTCCTGGTTAATGTTATTAAGTGTTGTGTTTTATATTGATTATGTTTCAGTTTATTGACGAAACTTGTTTTGACCGTTATTAAATAATATCATTTTAATTCAATGGATTATTTGGAGTTTCTCATTAGACAAGAATGTCAGAAAAGATGACGCAAATACTGCGACATGAGATTTGTCTCGCAAAAATGTGTTGAATACGTTTTAAAATCAATTAGGTAACAATATCGATTAAACATGAAGGCGACTTATCTTCATCGTTCTTCTTCATTGCGACTGGCTACTAGAATATCGTCTAGATAGAAAACTACGTAGAAATGAACGACCGTTATTACAGTCGTTACAATGTAGAAGCTTTCGGAAATAACTAGGAAATAATCCACTAACAAGGCAACCCACAAAAAACTAGCACTACTCCCCCACATAATCGAAGAACAGGTCCTGCCGCCAACCAGTTCCAATCATTCATATGGAATTATGGCTGTCATCCATAATCCTATTCAACTCTTACCTTCTGTCTCTCCCTTCTCCTCCCATTCGGACACTCTTGCAAGATATGCTGCAGGGTGTTCTCACTCACCACCCATCCGTCTATCCTTCATAAACCTATAGACTACACTATCCTCCTATATCACCTCTATCCACTATCCTACCCATTTTCTTCGCCCTCTTAAATACTTTCATAACGCCATTCAACTCTACACTTCTTCTCTTACTCATTATCAACGACTCTACCGTTGTCATATTGTCGGTACACACCATTAAAGGGCAAAGCCACGGAGTCGTTAACGACAAAGGCGATGATTCAGAAGTCGAAACCACCAACTCATCCACCGACAGCAGAAATGGTTAACGGTGGTATTAAGAATCTACGTGAGCGCGGCGGTTCACAATTGCAAGCAATTCGGTGCTTCGGGTGCTCTTATCCAGACCAAGGGCAAGGGAGCGTGGGCGAAATCACGATCGGCGTAATCCTCCACTATAGACAACAAAGAAAAGAGGACAACAACCAAGGCGAAAAGGTCTCCGATTGACGAAAGAAACGAGACTGTTACGTCACCCAAAGCAACATCACAAAGCGAAAAAGACCCCCAAAGGTCCGACAAAGAGCATTTAAACTTTTCTATGTGTGCAAAGACAGTTTACCAGTGATGTGGCGCTCTAACGCTAAAGCATGGGTAACTCGCGACGTGTTATCGTTCTCGATAATACACCGGCACATTCACCAGATTTGGGAGCAGATCCCTTATGCAACCCACGGATCAATTGGTGATAGCCAATTTCAAGAAAGTCTATATGAAACACATTTATCGAAACACTTTCAAAATGCGAACGAATTCGACCGTATCGTTGGTTGATATTTTAATGAATACATTATATTTTTATACACAGGTGTCCCGTGACTCGACCGACAAACTTATACCATATATTTCGGGGGTCATTACGATAAAAAAAATGGTATATCAGCTATAGGTGAATTCCTCTTTATTTCGGAGATATCGACGGTATTAAAAAAATTGACAGTCTTGACGATTTAACGTTTGACAATGACACGAAGGATAGCTGCATGTTTAGAGAATGGCGGTTTTCATTTTGAACAGCCGCTGTAATTTTGTGTTAATTAGCTACCCATTCATAAATAAATAAATGAATAAATTTTCTTTTATCATTTTTATTTTTATTTAGATATCTCCGAAAAAAAGAGGAATTCAGCTACATACATATATGTGATATACCATTTTTTGATCGTAATGACCCACGGAGTGTATGGTATAAGTTTGTCGGTCGAGTCACGGAACACTGTATATATTATTTTAATTATAATATTAAAGGACTTCTGGAAAAGCAACTATAATCAAGCTGTTCTACTGAAGGATAAGGCTTGGGCCGAGTTCACGAGAAGAACTTAAACTCTGCGTAGAGGAAACTACTGCCGTCAGCTATTTCCGATGTACTTCATTTTTCATTAATTCTTATGGGATAATTCGGTTCGGAGTTCGTCGGTTTCCAACTGTACCACTGTAATCGTATTGCGAATCAGATACATATCTAACATTACAACTTTCGTTGTGATCATTAATTGAATGCATATGGAAGCAAATTAAGTTTAAATTATTTAATTCAATTTATTTCATATAAATTAAAAAAGAAATTAATTTTTCTTGATTAAATCACATCTTAAGTTCACATTGAATTCTTATTTAAAGGCCGCCATAAAAATATTACACGCTATTGCGTTTAGAAACTAGAAAATTGACATTATCCGAAGTCCATACTGAAACAACATTTTTGCTTTTCAGTATGGAAATTCACAGACTTAAGAGAGCAAAACGAAAATTCTTTTTCATAAAACAAGTGATTGGTTCTGAAANGTTCTTAGGTTAATATGGTCAATATGATACTAATTATGAATATCAAATCTAATTTCTATTATTCTATACTTAATAGTAGTAGATCACTATGGTTCATATGCATATATTTTTCCTTTCACACGCTTTATCATATCTAAGTGTTGAAAACATATTTAGTAGTCCTGGTTAATGTTATTAAGTGTTGTGTTTTATATTGATTATGTTTCAATTTATTGACGAAACTTGTTTTGACCGTTATTAAATAATATCATTTTAATTCAACGGATTATTTGGAGTTTCTCATTAGACAAGAATGTCAGAAAAGATGACGCAAATACTGCGACATGAGATTTGTCTCGCAAAAATGTGTTGAATACGTTTTAAAATCAATTAGGTAACAATATCGATTAAACATGAAGGCGACTTATCTTCATCGTTCTTCTTCATTGCGACTGGCTACTAGAATATCGTCTAGATAGAAAACTACGTAGAAATGAACGACCGTTATTACAGTCGTTACAATGTAGAAGCTTTCGGAAATAACTTTCCACCCAACTACCGAATCCACTACCAAGGCTACATAATCGAACACAGCTCCTGCCGCCAACCAGTTCCAATCATTCATATGGAATTATGGCTGTCATCCATAATCCTATTCAACTCTCCTTTACCTTCCGTCTCTCTCTTCTCCTCCCATTCGGACACTCTTGCTGCAGGGTGTTCTCACTACCCTTCTATAACACCTCCCTTGACCCTTACCACCTTACCCGCTCTCCTCATTCCTGCATCATCTCGAAACTCTCATCCCAATTCCACTATCCCACCCATTTTCTTCGCCCTCTTAAATACTTTCACAACGCCATTCAACTCTACACTTCTTCTCTTACTCATTATCAACCACTCTACCGTTGTCATATTGCCGTTACACACCATTAAAGGGCAAAACCACGGAGTCGTTAACGAAAAAGGCGAAGATTCAGAAGTCGAAACCACCAACTCATCCATCGACATCAGAAATGGTTAACCGCGATATTAGGAATCTAGGTGAGTACGGCGGCTCATCATTGCAAGCAATCAAAAAGTACATAAAAGATTCTTGAAAGCCGCCACCGTTTCGGGTGCTCTTATCCAGATCAAGGGCAAGGGAGCGTGGGCGAAATCCTCCACTACAGACAACAAAGAAAAGAGGACAACAACCAAGGCGAAAAGGTCCAGAATTGACGAAAGAAACGAGATTGGTACGTCACCCAAAGCAACATCAAAAGCGAAAAAGACCCCCAAAGGTCCGACGAAAAAGCCAAAAAAAAATCCTAGGGCATTTAAACTTTTCAATGTGTGCAAAGACAGTTTACCAGTGATGTGGCGCTCTAACGCTAAAGCATGAGTAACTCGCGACGTGTTGTCGTTCTCGATAATGCACCGGCACATTCACCAGATTTAGGAGCAGAATTTGGGTGGATTGCGGACTGTCACCTAAGATCACCTCCCTTATACAACCCACGGATCAATTGATGATAGCCAATTTCAAGAAAGTATATGAAACACATTTATCGAAACAATTTCAAAATTCGAACGAATTCGACCGCATCGTCAGTATTCGGTCGATATTCTAATGAATACATTATATTTTTATACACAGGTGTCCCGTGACTCGACCGACAAACATATATCATATATTCCGGAGGTTATTACGATCAAAAAATGATATATCAACTATAGGTGAATCCCTCTTTATTTCGAAGATATCGACGGTATTAAAAAAATTGACTGTTAGTCTTGACGATTTACCGTTTGACAAATTAATG